GTATCTTTTATTTCTGTGATGTGCAGAGAAATCATTGATAACACCGGTAAAGAGAATGGAATCGACATTGTGATGCCAGAGAGGACCTACCATCTGATCGCCGAATCTGCCGAGGATGCCAGGTCAGTTGTGTGTTCGTTTCAGGCGTGTTGTGATCCACAACCTACCACGAAAAAGTCCTCAAATTGTATTTATAACTTAAGTTGTATAGCACCTTCATGCAGAGTCCAAAGTGTTTTACAAAGGAGGTTTGAAGAGTGAAATCAAAGTCAGAAAACTAGAACAAAGACCCCCCCACACACACACACACACACACCCACCAGTTAGTCAGTAATGAGGAGGTGGTGTTACCATGGTGGTGATGTGCCAGTTTCCCCTGGCAACACATTGATTTCCTCTCAGAGGGACGGTCTCCTTCCTCCATGTATCTTGACAGGAAGATGGAAGCTGTGTGTGGGTATGTGTGGGTGGGTGTGTGCTGGCAGCAGGTTTACAGTCTGCCTCTCAGCCTGACACAGAATCTGATCAGTTATCCTCATGTCTCCCTTATGCTGTGTACACACAGATGTACAGTGTGTTTATTATCCTGCTTGTTTACAAGAGCATCAGATATCTATAAAGTAAATTATATTGTATTAAAGACCTGTTTGGCACATATAGTCATGGAATCTAAAGATGCACCGCCTGCATTGTGAGTGGTGGGTTTTTTAAATTCCATGAGTCTATAAAGGTCTAAATGTTTCTCCTGATGTTAGTTTCATCTGTTTTGGCTGGATGATGAAGATTGATTGACCGACCTGTACAGTATCTGCCTTTCAAACAGCATCAATCCAAATAGTTTGTACCAAAATATCTGCACACATTTGTACAAAATAAAGAGGAGATAATTTAATATGTGATTTAACTCACAGCATTTTGTTTAACCTAGTACGGTGCCATAAAGAGGCTAAAAAAAAAAAAACCCTACATGGAGCTTTCAGTCATTTTCTCATTTTGCAGTGTAGCTTGAGACTTGTGACCCGTATGTCTTGTTCTCTGTCATAACCTTAATGTCTGGGTGATGATGATGATGATGTCTCCATGGTTACAGCCAGTGGTTCAGCGTGCTGAGTCAGGTCCACAGCTCCACAGAGCAGGAGATCAGAGAGATGCATGATGAGCAGGCCAACCCTCAAAATGCTGTGGTGAGTGCTGTGGGAAACGGAGTTTGTAGTGCTGCGTGACAGGCTGTGTTGTCTTCCATGTAATGTGCTGCTGAATGCCTACATCAAGTTGCATTTTTGAAGGTTACGTTTTACTGATAATGAAAATAGGATGAATGAGATATTATACAATCCAACCCCCAGACGTGAAATGAGGGAAAATTGTATCCTACAATTTGTCTGCTGCTTCCACAGTGGTTTTTTTATTGACACAGTATATCATGTGAATCAGATGTTTAAATTAAATTAAGAAAAACTAGTTAATACCAGAAAAAAACTTTTGAAAAATCCTGTACTATCATAGAGCAGTCCCGATCACTAGACAGTGTGGTCTTATACTTTTCAGGGATTTTAGCCTTTGAAATTGATTTAACAGTTAATCTGAACACACTGCACAGGTATTCCACGCTCCTTTTTTATTCTGTAGAACTGACAGATGTTTTCTCAGTGCTTCTGCCTGGGGGTGAACATGATGCTGCTTATATCCCTGTTTGTGTGTGAGACAACCGGTTTCCTCGGGGCAGAGGAAGGTCGGACTTATTATTCCCACCCTGAACAGTTACTGAGCCGCACTCTCTGTCTCTGCTCAGGGAACGCTGGACGTGGGGATGATCGATTCTGTTTGTGCATCAGATAATCCAGAGAGGTGAGGCCCTGCATCAAACGTCATGGCACACTCTGCACTTCTTAACATGCTCGTTTTCACACGTCAACACTGAGTGAACCAAAAGTCAAACCCGACACTCTTGAGGCCTGTTTACATCACTGGTTTCTGCACAGAAACATTTATGGCAGAAACTGTTTGAGTTCATCTTAAAATTAAAGGCCTTTAGAAAATCTATAAGTAGTTAAATTTGTAAGTCAACTCCATGTTTTATTTTCAGTTCAGCTACTGGACGGTGGTTTTCTTTTAAACATGCTTGAAATTAGGCTCTAACACATAATTCTTCCTTACTACAGGTTGTAGCATCACTCTAATGTTTAACTGATCTTGTTTCTCATCTGGTTTAACACAGCTTAATCCCTCCAGTGTTAACCAGATGATGTTGGAGTTTGTGTTTGATTCCCCCACCCTCCTCCTCTAACTGTATTTCTGAACAGGCCAAACTCCTTCGTCATGATCACGGCGAATCGTGTGCTGCACTGCAACGCCGACACGCCCGAGGAGATGCACCACTGGATCACCCTGCTGCAGCGCTCCAAGGGAGACACCCGTGTCGACGGACAGGAGTTCATCATCCGAGGTGACTTACTGTCCCCGTCTGGCCCACAATTCATTTAGCCAGATTTACAGCAGTGGAGCAATAACACATGCGGTGTCATAATTTTTCCTTTAGTTTTGTTTCTTTAACTGAAACTTGACATAGATAAGTTTACAGCTTGAACGAGGGTTCTCACTGCAGAATAATAGATTAGTTGATAGAAACCTGTATCATCGTGTTTGAATTTGACATATCTGCAGGGTTTTTTCTTTTTAAGGAGGCAATGAAACTGTTGCAGGCTTTAGCACAACCACCTGTCTTTCAACTGGGAGCTCTGGTTGCTGCTCCCATGTTGGTTTATGACTGTCAATAAAAAAAATGAAGAGAGACAATGTTGGCAATACCGGTAATGTGTGCGATTCCTTTATTTGCACCAGGCTGGTTGCATAAAGAGATGAAGAACAGCACCAAAGCTTCGCTGAAGCTGAAGAAACGCTGGTTCCTGCTTACCCACAATTCCCTGGACTACTATAAGAGCTCAGAGCGTAACGCCCTGAAGCTGGGAACACTGGTGCTGAATAGCCTCTGCTCAGTGGTTCAGCCGGACGAAAAGGTCTTCAAAGAAACGGGTAAGAAAAGGTCTTCTTCTGTCTTTCACATGGTTCGAGTTGTATCTGGGTGCTAAGACGCAGAACCATCGGTTTCACCTCTGTGTTGTTACTCTCGGTCTCTTCCTCAAAGGCTACTGGAACGTGATCGTGTATGGCCGCAAACACTCGTACCGTCTCTACTGTAAACTGCTGAATGAGGCCATGCGTTGGGCCAGCTCCATCCAGAATGTCATCGACACCAAAGCCCCCATCGACACGCCGACCCAGCAGCTCATCCAGGACATCAGGGTAGGAAACATCAAACTGGTGCTGTAGTTCCCAGCAGAAGCTCAAAGAGGGTGATGCGAGGCAAAGGCATGAATGAATGCATTTTACCTCTACTCTCTGCAGGAGAATTGTCTGAACTCAGAGGTCGTGGAGCAGATCTACAAGAGGAACCCCATCCTGCGCTACAGCCACCACCCGCTGCACTCACCGCTGCTGCCGCTGCCCTACGGAGACATCCACCTCACTGGTGAGTCACATGATTACAGTCAAACATCCAGGTGGAGGGACTGTCATCAGATAAGGCTGCAATATTTATCCTAGTCCAAAGCTGCTGTGTTATCGGGGCTGGGAGTCACCAGGGAACACGCCAAGCATCTGAGAATTACAATTTCTTTTATTTCAAAAACTTTAGATTACTTTAATCCTGCCATCACAGGACTTAGAAAATGTCTGTTTTTAAAAGCCTTAATGCACGTTATTTGTTAACCTACAGTATGTGAAGGCATGGTTGAGTTTTAACCAGGTATTAACGGTCTTTTCAACACAGACTAAAACCAACAATGAACTCTCTCTACTCCCAGTTACTGTCTGCCACTCTCAAACCTGCATTAGCTTATTCATCTGGGCTGTTGACCAACAGGTATAAATGACCAGAGCTTTTTACAGAGTCAACTGTGCATGCACAAGGTCTCTATGCAACTACTGTGAGCAGAACTATCAAGTGGCAGAAATTGTATTTTTAAGTATAAATGATTATTTTAATGTAGACTTTCACCAGTGGGTTTTATTTCAAAAGGTTTGAAATATTGTTTTCTACTATCGGTGACTGTCTCCTCGAAGCCGACTGCCTTGTTTACCTGGACAAGTTAGCTTAGCTCTAAGTCGAGCACAGGCGCGTTGACTGTAGGCTACAAGACCACAAACTAACAATGCACACATACCATCACTCACATCACTAACCTCTTCCCTCTCAGCTCCAAAGAACAGAAGCTACACAACTCTGCAGGATGAGGCCCTCAAAGTGTTCAGCTCTCTGCAGCACCTGGAGGGCGTGGCTGACCCAGTGCCCATCATCCAGGGCATCCTGCAGACCGGTCAAGAGCTCAAACTGCTGCGGGACGAACTCTACTGCCAGCTGATCAAGCAAACGACACGGCCTCCACAGCCCGGCAGCCCAGGGAACCTCTGCAGCTGGAAGATCCTCGCCTGCATGTCCTGCACCTTCGTCCCAACCAGGAGTATCCTCAGATACCTCAAGTTCCACCTAAAGAGGTAAAGAGATGGATTTACAGAATATGACAGGTTGTCTTTCAGAAAACAGGTGTTTGGTGAACCAACTAGCAGCATTTTTTCTTTATAAATGAACCTAGTAGTTTTTAAAAATGTCTTAATGTCTGTTGAATCTCTTACTGTACCTTGACCAGTCCAGACCACACTCTCTCCACAGGACACGAGAACTCGTCCCCGGCTCGGAGATGGATCGATACGCCACCTTCACCCTTGACTCATTGAGGAAGACCCGAGCCAGGGAGAACGTCCCGTCGAAGGAGGAGATCTGCTGCATTGTGGCACGGCAGGACATGAACACCACCGTTCACTGTCACGGAGGAGGCTCCTGCAAGATCACCATCAACTCTCACACCACTGCTGGAGAGGTGGGTGACACCAGGGGCTGTTGGGCGCGTGGACACAGTGCTATGGTCAGGGCTAGTGAACTGGACCCTTATTTACTGAATATTATCTGGGTCAGGTGGTGGAGAAGCTGATCCGTGGCCTGGCCATGGAGGACAGCAGGAACATGTTCGCTCTGTTTGAACACAATGACACGACAGAGAAAGCCATCGAGAGCCGCACTGTGGTGGCCGACGTGATCGCCAAGTTTGAAAAGTAGGTGTCATAGTGTCTGTGTGTGGTTTTACAGAGGCACATTGCATTCACCAAAGAAAAACAATTAGAGGATCTTTTCTCATAATTGAGATAATGCAGAGGTTAGAACGCTGCAGAACCTGCCTGAAAGTCTTCTGGTTTTAACAAATTCTTTAGTATCAAAGTAATTCAGTGGTAGTTGTGGGTACATCCAATAGTCCATAGCAAAAGTGAACTGTTAATAGCTAGTTCGGTGTGCTTAGTGTTCCAGAATGTAAACAAATATGGGCTACAACAGGCCATAAAGTTGCTGCCTACAGTGTAACTCGTTAGGCTGCATGTACTGAGCAGGAGGTGGAAAGCTTCAGAACCTGCTTGAGAAACACTAGGTTTTTAGGATTTCTTCAGTAAACTATGTATGTAAATCTGAAAGCACATCCAACATTAGGCTAGGTGCCAGAATGACCTGCTAATAGCTGACTCGGCATACCTAGTGTACAAACCATAAACAAACAGGCCTGGGCTAGAAACGGCACCCACACCGTACCCTACTTCCTGTATCTGTTCACAAGTGATGACCTAATGTTTAATGCTTTGTCATATGAGATCCAGGGATCAGGATTTTGTAATACTTAAGAAGACGGAGGTGTTACAGGCTGCCTGAGTTAATTGTCTAGATCCTATTGGTCTATCAGTATAATGAACACAAGCTTAAATAAAAAAAAAAAATTTCCCGCAAAAAATTTTCTTGCATAGTATTTTGGAAAATGTCATAAGTTTAATCATGCGAACATATTGTACTTTTACAAGAAACATCAAGTATGACATTGCCATAGATATAACGAGTGACCGTGGGCTGCAGCTTGGGTCTGTTTTTAGCCTGTATTTGTTTACGTTCTGGAACACTAAGTATGCCAAATGAACTTTTATCAGTTCATTTCTGCTACATGCTATTGTACTTGACTTGCGTTAAGACTGAAGAAATCTTAAAAACCCAGTGTTTCTCAAGCAGGTTCTGAAGCTTTCCACCTCCTGCTCAGTACATGCAGCCTAACGAGTTACACTGTAGGCAGCAACTTTGAGGCCCATATTTGTTTACGTTCTGGAACACTAAGGACACCGAACTAACAGTTCACTTTTGCTATGGACTATTGGATGTACCCACAGCTATCACTGAATTACTTTGATACTAAAGAATTTGTTAAAACCAGAAGACTTTCATTCAGGTTCTGCAGCGTTCTAACCTCTGCATTATCTCATAATTATGAGATAGTAAGTCATAATAACATCCTCCTTTTGTTTTCCTTTGGTGAATGCAATGCAGTTCCATATGGTTTTGTATTTTGGCCACTGTTAACTCACCCTCTGGCCTCCAGGCTTTCAGCGAGTCCAGATGAACACAACACTGGCTGGAGGTTTTACTTCAAGCTCTACTGCTTCTTGGACACAGACAACGTTCCCAAAGATAGCGTGGAGTTCGCGTTCATGTTTGAACAGGTACAAGTTAAACTGTAAGAGTCATCAGATTGACAATCAGAAAATAACAGTCACTGTGAAAGAGAAGGTAACATCTTCAGATTCCTCATGTTGTTCTGCCAGCAAATCCCAAATAGGTTTCATTGTTCTTGATAAAGCACAAACAATTAACCAATTATCAAAACTGACGGATAGACTCATTTCCTGTGAACTGAATAACTGATTATCTGAGTCCTGATTAACATTAAATTAACTAAAGTATTTTGATATAGCTTTTCATAATGTTGAATACTTAAAAAACAAAAGTCAAGCACTAAAAATTTCCACCAAATATCTGAGTAGATTCATATGCTTATTAAATCTTAATGGAGTCATTTTAGGGTTCTTTTCTATTTTTTTTGCTACAATTAGTACCACAGCTTTGTGTCAAGGCAAAATCAAACACTTGCGCTTTTGAATTGCATGTAAAAATGTTTTTCTCCAATCGGGGGACTGAAAAATTACTTGGTGCGGTACTGTACAAAAATGTAGGCAGATACCAAGTGCTATTGATGAGAAAACATCTGCTTCAGCTTGAAATAGTCTCGTTTCAAAATGCTTGTTTTGTCAGATACTTTAAAAAAAAAAAAAAAGAAAGCAGCTGCTTACCTACAGACGCAGTCTTCATCCTTTATTCTCTCTGTCTACAGGCCCATGAAGCAGTCATCCGTGGTCAGTATCCGGCCCCGGAGGAGACTCTGCAGTTCCTGGCTGCACTGAGACTTCAGTACCTCCTTGGTGACCACAGCTCCCAGGCCGGCGCCCCTGAAATGTCCCAGGTGTTCCCTATGGCACGACTCCGGGCGCGGGTGCAGAACTCAGCCAAGACATTCGCTCCAGGCACCGGATCCGTTGCAGACCGCTCCAGCACGGCAGAGAGGAAACGATCAAGCTTCCTGGAGGGAACACTGAGGCGGAGCTTCAGGAGCGGCTCACTGAGTCGACAGAAGCTGGAGGAGGAGAATAGCCTGGAGGTGTGGATGAGGGAGGAGACAGTGGCCGTGAGAACCAGCGTGATGGACAAGTGGAAGAAACTGCAGGGCATGAACCAGGAGCAGGCCATGGTCAAATACATGACGGTGGTGAAGGAGTGGCAGGGATACGGATCCACACTGTTCAATGTGGAGGTGAGTAACAGAGAGAAAGGCATCAATACAAACCGCATTCATGAGAACGTCACAAAATCTGCAAGTATTCTACATCGTTAAGAAATGATGGTCAATTGGAAATGACTAGTATTAAAGCTTTGGTAAGAAAACTTAAAACAGCGAAGGTGGCGATGTAATGTTCGGAAATTTCAAATTAAAAACTCACTAAAAGCTGTGTGCAAAAGGCCAGAAAGATTAGAGCAAAACATTAATACAGTTTGTCTTAGCACTTCCTGATTTCTAGGAAATAATTAGTCACGACTTTACATCAGACTGTCAGACATTCTTGCTCATGTACAAAAGTTCCAGACAGCTGACTTCAGGTGTTTCAGTGTGTGTGACAACCTCCCTACCTGTCAGTCTTCATCAGCAGACCTCTCATGTGTTGTTTTCAGTGTCGGGACGGAGCGTTCCCCTCCGAGCTGTGGCTGGGTGTGAGCAGGGAGGCCATATCAGTGTACAAACGAGGGGAGCCGTGGCCTCTGGAGGTTTTCCCATACGAGCAGATTCTCTCCTTTGGAGCGCCGCAGCCCAACGCCTACAAGATTGCAGTGGAGGGCCGAGAGCTGGTCTTTGAAACCCAGATGGTTCGTACAACATAAATAAACTATGTGAACTTTAGGCAACATCAGCACTTACTGGTCATTAGCAAACATATTCACGTTCAGAAAAGCATGCAGATCATAGGACCCCCTACCTTTAATCCTGAAACATCATGAACTCCTCCTCCTCCATAGGTCATGGACATCGCCAAGCTGATGAAGGCCTACATCAGCATGATCGTCAAGAAGCGCTACAGCAACTGTCAGTCCGTCAGCAGCCACGGTAGCCAGTGCAGCGCCTGGTGAACTCTGACCTTATGGCCACATGCCCGAGTGCAGCTGGAGGGTGAAGCGTGGACACCCGTCCTTGGCACTGTGGAGAGAGCAGCTCGTACATGTCAGACTGCCTGTGAATGCTGGAGACAAACCACAATCACTGTTAACTAGTTCTGATTACTACCCTGACTGGTTTCATTCCAAAACATCACACAACCACACTGCTAATCATTTAGCAGTGATTAAGTCGACAGGGATCCGCTGTGAAAACCAGATTCTGTGATACCACACAAAATCCTGTTGCTGGAAAACTGTCAACAAATTGTTCCCTTAATTTTGTAATTTGTGGCCTCAGTTTTGTTTTGCTTGCAAAATTTTGTGCTTACCATTAGAAGACTTAAGTCGTGTCCTCAAAATCATAGTTACATTGCTTGTAACCTAAAGTGAAGGTTTAATGCAGCTTTGTTAATCTTCCTGATGCTAACACGCTCCCCTGCTACAGGGACTGTCGCTGCAGGACGGGGCTATTAGTTACTGAGGTGTTTGTTCGTGTGGCTGCGTGAGTACGAGTTTGAACAGGTGTCTGTCCGAAATGTTAAAAAAAAAACAAAAAAAAAACCTTCAGGCCTTTTTTCCCTCTGCTTTGAAAAACTCTGGGACTTGACCATCTTGATAAGCCGTACACTGTAAATATGTAACTGTACTCGTCTCAACTATTTCACTGTTTTGATTGAATTGCTCCAAAGGTCACACAGGTGCCTTTTCAGACTAAAGCAGATTGTCTGTCTTATTGATGCCATGTTTGTAAGTAGAACCTGAAAGGTGCTCCCATGTTCCCTTGAACCACCAACATACCTGTACATTGCAAAATCTGTCCTCGCACACAGGCCATTCAAACTAAACTCCAGGATGAAGTCCTGTATGTTTTTTCCTCGAGACTGGAATTTAACCTCGAGACAAAGTGATCAAAATGTCAAAGATCCTTAATGTAGACAGACTTCTGCATCAACTAAAACAGATTTGCTAGAGGGGAATGACCACCATCAGCTCATGCATCGCAAACCTCCTACGCTGAACTGGATTTCCTCGTGTGTCCAACACACCTGGCCAATAAAGCTGATTCAGCCAAATTTAAAGCCACTACATGGAGAAGGTCCAACTTTTCTCCACAGAACCACATATCCTGGGCTGAGGTGCCCATATGCTCCAAACTAAGAGGATTAATGATAGTGGAAGAGAAAGTTAACTGCTGCATAATTTGCCATTTTCTATTCTGTATCAATCGCAACAACTGGAACAGCAGCAACACAAACATCCCCTTTAAACGACAGCGGCTCGACACTAATGTGAAAGTCTGGCCCAGAGGTGCAACAGTCACCACATTCATGGGCTGTAAATACAGCTTTGATATTACAAAACAGAGTCAACAGGACAAATTTAAAAATCCTGACTGCCAACATCTTTTCACCAGATCCACAGGTGCCACTGAGGACATGCATCATCTCTCTGCAGCTGCACAAAAGCTCCAAAATGAAACCTCAAACGTTCACTGAAGTCTCATCATCTACAACAGTTGTGTGCTTTAAAGCTTCACCTAACAGCAGTAACTTCGAGTTATTGTCTCTCTCACGCTTTAGTTTGAATGGCCTGTTGTGTTGGACGGTGCGCAGTACAACACTCCCCTGGAGCTCCGCGGGCGGCAGGTCCATCCAAAGACTGTGTGTGTGTGTGTGTGTGCAGGTGTCTTCTACAGTGCCTTGTTGTATATTGTGTACACTGACTGTTTTCTATGTGTGGTTTCATTTTTATAATGTGCAATGTTATGTATATTACATAATCATGTGGCTGTATATTTTGTCATTGCCTACTTAGTTTTTCCTACATAATGACACATGGCGATTTCCTCGAGATTAAAAAACCTTGTATTTTTCTCTACACAACCGTGCGGCTGACAGTGTACAGTACTCCTGTTTTCTCTATGAGCTCTTACAAACGGTTACACGTTTGGTCTGAAGGTGCCTTCGCTCGGATTTTCTTTGTTACACTATGTTAACAGACTGAATTAACAGTAGCACCTCTAGATTGTGAACACTAAAGATTTGTTTGGTGCCAGAGATGATGCCACAATTTATATAACATTACACCGTGTTCATTTCAGAGACAGGGATTCCCACATTATCACCACATCTCTAATTATGTTACAGTTCATGTGATGTGAACATTCATGAGCCCACAATGGGAAACGTGCTATGATTTCCCTCCAGCGTGCACGTTGGCACAGAAAAGCACCAGAACCGGCAGCAACATGTGACCTCACCGGGTAAATTGCATTACAGGTTAGAAACAGATGCATACAGGAACTCTAACATTAAGCATAAGAAGTAAAAAAATAAATAAATAAATCCACTTTCCTGTGTCACTGGGGTTTTACCTGTTGAGACAGACAGATTTTAACTTTCTCTTTTTCTAATCTGCAAACATCACGTCTCTGTGTCTTAATGTTAAGTTTTTCAATTAAACATTAAATAGATAACCATTATAGAACAGCACCCTAATCATTTCCACAGTGGAACAACAAGCCTTCGGCTCATGGTGTCTGCTGTTTTGGGCTTCGTGCAGATTTTACATCTTTATCACCTGAAAGGTTTAACACTGATGATTTACAGCTATGATTTTTTTTTTTTGACAGGAAAAGGAAAAACGTTCTAAAAAAATCTTTAAAGGAAAACTCCAGCTCCACTTTGGGGCAAGTAGACTTTACCTCAAATTGTTAATATCAAAAATTCCTGAATGTATTTCTTTCTAACTCATCATTTGACCTGCACGGTGAAGTCACATGTTCCTCGCTCCATCCATCCAGCTGTTTCATCATGTTGCCCACTGTCAGCTCATAAATGACGCCGTCACAGACTGTGACATCAGTGACTAAATAAAATGTTAGATCATAACCGACAAACCACCAAACTGCATTTACTGTCCAGCTTGTCATTTGTTCACATGCTGAGTGTATACATCTATCCACCAGAACAGGGCTTTCAAACACTCCACAGTGAAGTGAGAAATAAAACACGGAACCTACACTACTTCCTGCTAAACAGTCCCACAATGCAATGCAGCTAATTTTATAAATGCAGAAATCGCAGCTGACTCAGAAATCTGTTTACTGCTCACTACTAAATGACCGGACATCTACAGTACGAGGGAGCGATTTCAGACACAGCCATCACTAAATAATAAAATCCCTCCATTTGTAACTCAAGACGTGGCTGACCTGGTAACGTCCCCTGGTCCTCATCCCAACCATCCGGCTGTCTGGTGCTTCTCCAGGTTGCTGCAAAGCTGCATGAAGAAAAGACATCAGTCTTAAGAGGAACTGAATTCTCACTTTATTTTTAATAACTAGGTGAAATTTCTAAACTTTAGTTTGTTATCTTTGCTGACAATGAAACCGGGTAAGTAAGAGCATCTTTGACAGCTACAGTGCCTTGCGAAAGTATTCGGCCCCCTTGAACTTTGCGACCTTTTGCCACATTTCAGGCTTCAAACGTAAAGATATAAAACTGTAATTTTTTTGTGAAGAATCAACAACAAGTGGGACACAATCATGAAGTGGAACGAAATTTATTGGATATTTCAAACTTTTTTAACAAATAAAAAACTGAAAAATTGGCCGTGCAAAATTATTCAGCCCCCTTAAGTTAATACTTTGTAGCACCACCTTTTGCTGCGATTACAGCTGTAAGTCACTTGGGGTATGTCTCTATCAGTTTTGCACATCAAGAGACTTAAATTTTGCCCATTCCTCCTTGCAAAACAGCTCGAGCTCAGTGAGGTTGGATGGAGAGCATTTGTGAACAGCAGTTTTCAGTTCTTTCCACAGATTCTCGAGTGGATTCAGGTCTGGACTTTGACTTGGCCATTCTAACACCTGGATATGTTTAGTTTTGAACCATTCCATTGTAGATTTTGCCTTATGTTTTGGATCATTGTCTTGTTGGAAGACAAAGCTCCGTCCCAGTCTCAGGTCTTTTGCAGACTCCATCAGGTTTCCTTCCAGAATGGTCCTGTATGTGGCTCCATCCATCTTCCCATCAATTTTAACCATCTTCCCGGTCCCTGCTGAAGAAAAGCAGGCCCAAACCATGATGATGCCACCACCATGTTTGACAGTGGGGATGGTGTGTTCAGGGTGATGAGCTGTGTTGCTTTTACGCCAAACATAACGTTTTGCATTGTTGCCAAAAAGTTCGATTTTGGTTTCATCTGACCAGAGCACCTTCTTCCACATGTTTGGTGTGTCTCCCAGGTGGCTTGTGGCAAACTTTAAACGACACTTTTTATGGATATCTTTAAGAAATGGCTTTCTTCTTGCCACTCTTCCATAAAGGCCAGATTTGTGCAGTATACGACTGATTGTTGTCCTATGGACAGAGTCTCCCACCTCAGCTGTAGATCTCTGCAGTTCATCCAGAGTGATCATGGGCCTCTTGGCTGCATCTCTGATCAGTCTTCTCCTTGTATGAGCTGAAAGTTTAGAGGGACGGCCAGGTCTTGGTAGATTTGCAGTGGTCTGATACTCCTTCCATTTCAATATTATCGCTTGCACAGTGCTCCTTGGGATGTTTAAAGCTTGGGAAATCTTTTTGTATCCAAATCCGGCTTTAAACTTCTCCACAACAGTATCTCGGACGGGGCTGAATAATTTTGCACGGCCAATTTTTCAGTTTTTTATTTGTTAAAAACGTTTGAAATATCCAATAAATTTCGTTCCACTTCATGATTGTGTCCCACTTGTTGTTGATTCTTCACAAAAAATTACAGTTTTATATCTTTATGTTTGAAGCCTGAAATGTGGCAAAAGGTCGCAAAGTTCAAGGGGGCCGAATACTTTCGCAAGGCACTGTATTCCATATCATTCACTCTCCACAGATTTATTATTATTCATTTCCAGTCCAGAAACAGCAGCAGTGTCCAGTAACTCTCACTGTCTTCACCACCTGGACAGTTACTGTTTTCACTCCATTTCCAGTTCCCTTGTTAAAGCAGACTGTGCTGTTCTGCTTGATGAGGTCTCTAAAGGCGTTTTGTTACTTATAAAACTGACAATGTGAAAAAAAAAACTAACATTTATTAGTGTTAAACTTAAAACAGGTGGGTTGCCACATCACGCTGGACAATCAGCCTTTTCTGTGAAGGCAGCAGTTCTCTGGAGTAAGACAGGGAGCCGCACATCATGTAGCACTTTAAAAATCAAATATAAAATATGGTTCAAATCCACTCAGACATGTTCTCATTAATGACCTGATTTTTGATGGAGTAACTTGTTTGTAGCGCCTGTAGCTTTTTATTATTTGTCATTTTTAATTAGGTTGGGACTGTGGGTGTAAAGTAGCGGTCGAGCTAACCCCGGCACATTCACCCTGATGTTATAGGTGTCAGTGTTGATTAATGCGCACTGTCCCATAATAAATACGTAAAAACATCTGTGGTCATGTCTCTCAAGTCAAATACAATGGCCTGGATGTGTGTGACAAGCTCTGCATCACAGAAAACATGGAGCAGGTTTCATTACAGGTGTGACTTTTGTGGGTTGGAAAAAGAAGTTTAAAGCAAAAAAATGTGAAGAGGTAAAAATTTACCTGGTGACGTCAGCTGCTCCCGGTGACGTCAGCTGTTCCTGGTTCCATCCATTGATTCTGCTGCTGTTCTCGGTCACGGCCAGTTTACATAGAGAAGGGAAATCAGTCTTAAGATTACATATATGTACATACTTATACGTGCCTTCCCCTTTGATGTTCCTTATTCACAAGTGAATTAAACAGTTGGCCATGAACAGACCCAGCTCACCTCTCCGGTGGACATCCTTTTTGGCAGTCACATCTTTGTGATTTGCTGGGAGCGTTTGCTGTCAGGGCGGCAGACAAGAGGACACTGAGCAGAGTTGTTTGTGAAGTCCTCCGACATCAGGTCACAGTAAACCAAACACCCGTCTCTGATAGTTGTCCATCGTCAAGGCACAGGATCTTCCTGAGACATCACAGTAAATGTGGAATTGTGTCAGTGTGGAGCACAAACTACCCTCCACATGAGAAAAGACCTGGCACCTGACCATGTCCACGAGAGTTCACAGGCCAAGCTACATCTGTGATTCTGTGTCAGTGCTCAGGAAACTAAGGTAATCTGAAATATAAAACATTTGTTTAATCCGTTTTCTAGAATCTTCAAAAGTATCTCTGATGCTGTAGATAGCCTACATGTAGATGCCTTCTGTCTGCCCTGAAAGGTAAAATGTTTGCCAGAGACCACACCATCACTGCTCTGTCCTCAGCACTGAGGAGGAGGAGGAGGAGGAGGGCAGAGGACATATGTTGGTTCCATACAGGCATCATCTGTGAGAACTAAAATACATCAAGATGCAGGTTAAAAGACAAAAAGGTACACTAGTAAATCAGACTCTTCTAACGCAAAGTGTAATTTGTACTCATCGCTACAGTGGAAGCAAATTCTCCTGATTCCTCAAAAAGGGTCTACGGGGCTCAGCTGGGTGCAGGACCAGACTGATGGGGCTCGCGTTGCACCACATCATGGAACCGCGATCCCAACAGATCCGAGTCCACTACGGTCCTGATCTTGTTCTCGTCCGATAGATATGAAGAAACCACACAACGAGGTTATGGTTATAGCATGAAGCTGACTGTGCATGGCTTATATATCATGTCGCTTCCAAGCACATGCGTCATTGCGCACGACACAAACAAAACACAAACCAACTAAAACCCCAACTGCACTTAAATTAAATGAAATGAAACAGCCTACCTGAGTGCTGCTGCTGACCACGTGTACCCCCTGATGGAAATTGGTGACCGTCTGCTTCCAGCAGAATCTCATAACGCACGTCATTCAAAGCTGGTTCCAATTGTCTGAGATGAACTGCGCGTCGCCTGGTGAGTGGAGGGGAGCGCGCAGCAACGGTGACGGAGGTCGGCGACAACAAGCTGCAGTCGATGCGGGGACTTAGCGACGTTTACACCGGCCTTGCCAATCTGCGCAGACGCTAGGCGAGCTCCAGGAAGTGAAGAGCCTCTCTGACTCTGATCTACTGTGGAAATGGGAGTCCTGAAACTTTAAAACACATTCACTTAGTAACATTAACAGCAAACAACATCTCTTGGCTGTGCTTTAAGATTCTATGCATGAAAACTGAATTCTGGACAAGGGTTTAGAATATTCTTGTCTCATCACAAGGCTGAAGTAATCCCATCCACACCAGGTAAAGTCCTTTATATGTTTCACATGCACTAGTTAGTACAACGAGTCATATGATCACATCTAAAGTCACACACAAAGGTGGGTCAATCAGACTCAGCTGGTTCTGCTGTTGGAGAGGTGGCGTCCTGTTGGCGCCATTTAAATCATGCTGACCTTAGACACATCCTCTTGTAAATGACAGTTAAACCCTCGTCCAACCACAAGTGATAAATCAAAGGAGTGCAAGTCAAAATGTTATTTGAAACAGTAGCAAAAAGCCAGTGCAGAAAGCTGGACTCACCAACATTTTGATGTCCTTGCACTTTCCCCAGGGAGATGCTGCGCGCCACCGTTCAGGCCACCATCGAGTTCGGTGTCTGGCAGCAATGCTTTAAAGTCACTTTGAGATCAGGCAAATAACCCACACCTCTCTCTGTGCATATACATATTCTTTATACATGACATATTACATTCAAAGGAAATAGAAATACAGCCAACAGCAAAAGTCACATCATGTTGGTTGTGTGCTGCACAATGCAACGTCGTTACCCAGCCTCTTAAGGCACCAAAAAGAAAAACAACCCAGTGACTCTGGTCGAGAACAGAACCCCAAATCCATCACACCCCAAACTCCAGAGGGCCCCTGGAAGCTCAACAGAACAGAGTACATACACATCAAAACCACAGTTAATACCAGCACAAACGATCTGAGGATCGATCCTTCGTGGCCACCCGGCACAAACACACACCAACAACTAGAAGATACAAAGTTCACATACTAGCATCACTGTGCGCCAAATGTTTATATCTGTGTGACCAACAGGGGTTTTGTGCTCAATCAATATGTATCGATCTCCGAATCCTGCATCGTCTGTCAGCTGCTTGCTGGGAAATACCTGGTAAGATTTCTCTTGTACAACAAGTAAAGATGTATCCCGAAGAAACACAGTGATACAGAGGCAAAGTTCTCTACACAGTATTAAAAACAGATCCAGGTTAAAGGTCAATGAGCAGAAGTGAAACAAAGCTGAGCTGACAAAAGTACTGGTGTCTGAAGTACTGCAGTGTACCTGTAGCTTTTCTTTGCTTACAAAGCAAATGTTAACTGACGAAACGTTGTAACTACTGAAATGACCAACTTCTTGTTGCACACAGCCCACCGTGCAACCCCAAACTTTCATGAGATGTGTGATCATGTGAATACTGGCAAGTTGTAAATATGACCTTTTCTGTTCCTAGGGAGGTGCTCAGTGTCTGTGCAGCAAACACAAGTGTCACTTCTGAAAGTAAAACAGAACAGCAACAACATCAGCTCAGTTGTTTAACTGCTTTGAGGACCGGCCCCAGAGCACATAAACAACTCTGTTCAGGTAAAAGCGTCACATTCAGGAAAAGGAAACCCTGCTGAAAATAAAGAAACAACAGGTTGTGCAACTCTATAAACGTTTTTACCACCAAGTGTAAACCATCAGAGTTCCTGGTGCTACACCGATGTTACACGAATAACGACCTCTCCTGAGTCACTGTCCTGGCTCAGGTTGTTCCGGGGCACCAGACCGGGGCAGAAGGGGGCCAGACAGAGACAGGTCCACGGCTGTGGCCCCAGCTGGGTGGAGTGTAACGGTCCATTGGGCCCGAAGGTGACCAGAGGTAACCAGAGCGTCCTAGGAGCTAGTGAGGAGTGACCGGTGCTCGTCTCCTCCATATCCTTTGCCTTGTCGTAGCTCTGCACGTCCCAGTGGAGGTTCATCGCCCGCCAGCGCATGAAGACATTGTACACTGCTGCCCCTTCATGGACAATCAATCCTGTTACACCAATGAAAATGGACAAGAAATGTTGATTCTCTCTTCTTCTACATGAGCTCAAAGCATTTTACCTCTAATGAAGCTGTCTTTAACAGCATCTGTTTCTCAAGCTTAAATCAGACAGAACATAAATTAGTATTAGACTGTGCAGTTCATGCTTGATGAGTCTAAGTGCTGAGATTTCAGGCTATTTTAAGGAAAGTGGTCTACAGGTAGCTCTGAATTTTCATGGAGCTGTCAAGGAAGAACTCGCCCCCTCAACAAGCACATGCACGACCACAGGGTCTTAATAAAATCAAGAACACCAAAGTCCTAGAACATGTGGGTCAAACCTCCCCATGACGACAGCTCCAGTGACCATGTCCAGGCTTACCTACGCAGACCAGGTCCATGAAGCCGTACATGCCGTAGCAGATCTGGAAGAGGACGTCACGGCGCTGCCAGATGGCCTGCGGGCTCAGAGCCGACCACAGCAGCCAAGAGATGCTGGCCACCAGAAAGAGAGAGCCCAGGAACACGGCGATGATCTGCACCTTCTCCACCAGGGTGATGGTGATGGACTGCCACTGCATACAGACAGGAGACCACACTGAGGACAAGATGTAGGCCATATGTCACAGAGCCTACTCCAATAAACAGTTTCTGATTGGACAGCTCTTTGCAGTTACAAGGGGATCTCTAAAGTATATTACTGATAGTAATACAATATATGTTATGCATATATATTCATATGGACCTCACATATAGGATCAGTACTTTAAGTGCAATAACATCTGAAGAACTGCCATTTGTAACCTGCTGCAGGGTATTTATTTACCTACTGGTGCTTCAAAGATCAGACTGCACTTGTGTTACAGTTTATGTAGACGTGGTTGAAACGAAGCGCACTGTCTGTGCAGCGCTAAAGAACTACAGCAGCAAGACAAAACTAGGTTTGAAAGGCCCGCAAATAAATGGCCACGTGCGTGTTGGAGTTGCTTCTGCCCGTGATGCGTCTCAGAACGCTGCAGCATCATAATGAAGTTCAACCCAAGGACGCACGCACAGAGCAGAGGAGCATCTCAATTTGTCTAAACAGCTGAGCAAAGCCGCATCAGCTCCTCCTCCTCATCCCTCACTCACTCATCCAGGACTTGGAAAAAGCACACGTGTAAAGTGAAGGGAGAAAGGCGCGCACACGATAACAACTGAAATATTTGGGTTAAATTAATCTTTTCACATGTGTAAATGTCAAACAACACGTGGTCGTGTGCCTTTTCATTTAAGATGTAGGTACACTTCTGAAATAATTAGAGCTTAACTAACGTTTATGATGCATGAACATTAGTCGTAAAATGCCTGTTTTTATTCCTCTAGTTTTATGATCTTAGGATCAATTCAACATCGACCTGACTCACAGCAGCAGCGGTACATACTGCAGTGCCAGTGTTGGCTGTATTTGTAATAAACGGTTATTATCTGTGTGAGTACATCTTCTTTATTATCTCTTTATGTCTCCGTCTGTGAAGGCACAGACCCTGCAGGGCAGCCAGTCCCTCAGTGTGAGCAACCTGCTGAAAAAAAAAACAGCGCCTCCTGCGGGCTGCTACAAATAAGAACAGAACAGGATGAGGAGGACTGGATGTGTCTAGGAGGGACATGTCTGTTTCATTTCTGTCTCTTCAGCCAGCTTACAAAAAGACACATTTTCCTACTTGTCTCTTGTGGTGCGAAGCCACGCAGATAGTTGTGGTTCTGTTGACTGAAGCAGATATCCAGAGTAACAGGGACGTTCAGCAAGGACACTTCTGTCCTTCAGACCTTTCCAACCTGTCTGACTGCTCGTGTATCTTGACCATCAGACCTTTTTCTCTGGGTAATTTCACCGGGCTATTGTAACTTGGCGACCACAATATTAATTATCAATACAAATGAAGGAGGAAATAAATTAGCTTTTGAAGCAGCTAGAAATCAATACCTTTATGGTAACAACGGATCAATCAAATAACGTGATTAAGGTGCACAGAATTATTACCGGAGTCTGCATTTCCCCTCAGCACTAAGTAGCTTTATGGGGCACTTCAGTTCATTGCTTTGGTTTTACTCTTCCGGTTCACTCTCACCCAGGGATGGATGACTGAACGGGCCCAGGGGCCCCTGGACTAGAGCACAGTGAGATAACTGCTTTCTGTTGGAAGTCGATCAAAATATGAAAACAAAGATCCAACAAATGAGGAAGGAAAGATACAAAACCACTAACAAGAGAGAAAAGACCCCAAAGACAGCAGTGTCTCAGAAGAGACAGAAACAATGATAAACGCAGAACAACAAAAAAAAAAAACTACACTAAACAAGTAAAAGTAGGTGGAAAATGAGCAAAAGTGAACACAAAATGACTAAAACCAGTTGCAAAATAACTACAGAAAGACACAAAGGAGCCACAAGACAACCTGACTATCAATCACACGGTTGCTCAATCTGTAAGTCTGAAGAAGAAGAGGAACAGTTGTTTGTGCCTGTGCTAATACTTTTGTATAACATTTTGAATGCAGGACTTTTACATGTAACAGAGTATTTAAAAAAAACTGCTGTATTTCTGCTAAGTAAAGGGTTTGGGTGCCTCTTCCACCACTGGTTATTTCTGATTTAAGGTGTCAAAAAACCAGACTTCCTAGCACTGAAATGCCTTGTCCCACAGCTACAACAGCCTGTCCTCCATAATGTCCTACAGGCAGTGAACAGACTGACTGGTGTGCCCCTCACCTGGCTGGAAAACCACATCAACCAGAACAAGACCAGGTGTATCAGAAGGTGAGAATGACAACTTATGACCAGGCAGCCCCACGCTGCCCTGAAAAGCTGCTACAAGCATGACAGAATCTCCAAGGAGGAGCTGGAGGCAGCTAAGAAGAAGTGGAAAGAGGCCGTGAACAATGTAAAAGGGGAGGGAAGAGCCAAGTCAATAAGGACAAAACAGGAAACAGGACAGTGGAGAAGAAAATGGAAATTAGAGTTGGACAGAGAAGGCGGTTGGTGCTGAGCGGATGACTGTGAAGCCCCACAGCTCTCCTTTCAGAAGACTGAACAGAAAGTAGAGCTTTACTGTGCCTCGGCTGTGTGTTTGCTCAGTCTGCCAGCGACTCAAGTCCCATCTGGAGCCAACAGATCTCACTGGGCATGAATGTCCTTAAGTGAACGAAACGATCCGGAATGCAGATATTTTAAGCCTCAGGAGTCTCTGCCTGTTCAGGCTCGGAGGAGAGGAAGCACCCTGACGCTGTGAACAGCCGGCGGCGACCGAAGAGGAGACGAACACTCGGCACCTTCACAGTCGATGCTGCTAAACACCAGTTTTATTTCTGCTCTGTTGAAAATAAATGCTTCATTACATTATTTTAGATGCACAGTAGCTCCTTGAATTTATTTGAGCAGAACCCCTTAAAAACTTACTTTTAACAATTTTGTGCACTAACACACTTCGATAATCAAGGGCCAACAATTCAGCGTGATCTTCAGACTGAAGCTCTATGTTCCTCACTTTAATCATTATGGACTTTAATGACTTTGGTGTTGGTTTAAGCCTGTTGTTTCTCAGTTTAGCAAGTTGAGGAGATTTTCAGATACTCTGCGTTTAGAGGTCCAACAACACTGAGCTCATACTGTGTGTGTGCAGACATTATGGCATGACTAAGGCATTTCTTGTTTTGGTTTTGTGAGAAATATGTCTTCACTAATGATCACCTCAGACATTTCCTCACTAATGCACAGCATTATTTTTTCCGGCCCAATTTTAGCTGTAATTCTGCTTCATCACTGTGGTTGAAGCTGTGCAGCCATGCTGCTAAATGGACTGAAGGTCTGCACTTTTGACACAACAGCTCTGTTTCTACTTGAAGCAGAAACTTGAGTCTCATTTAAAAGTCAGAATGTGAACTCGTGGCAGCTTTGTCCACTTATTTCTACAGCTGATGACCAATGAGTCATTCTTTTAAAAAACTACTCCTTATAAAAACACTACGGTCATTCCTTCTCTCCCTTAAATTTACTACTTTAATTTTAATGTATAATATCAAGGAAATATTGTGGGCAGTAGCTTCCCGATTAAAAAATAAGTAGGTGCGTCTCCACAAGCGGCGACGCTTTGAGGTATAGCTTCAGTGTGCTGGGTCAGCTGTGGGACGAGCCCATGAAGTCAGCAGTAGTTTTTAGGTCAAAGCAGCAGTGTGAAAACCACCTTCTGCAGTAATTTACCTGCCAGGGTCTCTTCATGTTGATGGCGATCACTTGGAAGCGATAGCAGCAGAGCTCGCAGGTCCAGCAGCCTCGCTCACTGATCCACTTCAGCAGGCAGTGCTGGTGGGTGTAACGCACCGAGCCGTCACACCGACACGGGTTCAGCAAGTCACCCTGAAGACAACAGAGAGGGCAAAGGTCAAGTGTGGAGGGAGGTGGCAGATAATTAAAACAAGGAAATAACGAAGGATTGTTGGGAGAAATGTATAAACCTCACAATATGGTTTTATGATTGTGTGGCCAGCTGCTCAGTACTGCTCTGTTTAGCCATGTTGTTACTGTTACTCCTGCTGATCACCATCAGATACAAGCCATTACTCTGTTAGTGAATATTCTCCTAAAGGACCACACTTCTGTTGTTATATCACACTATGGTTCATACTTGGATTAGTGTTTTAGATTATCAGAGGTTGTTCCTGCAACTGCGCAAACATGCACAAGCATGAAAGGTTGTGCAGGCTAATGATTCACAGTGGATGAGGACCAGAACGGCCAGGACACTATGTTAAGAGCTGCATCTGCCTGCATGCTTTGCACAGTCGCCGTAAATGCTATAAAATTTTGTTAATTGATGGTAAATAGGTTAAACATCACAAAAATATTGTTATAGTCTTAAAATCTGTGGACAAATTTGAAAAAAAAAGTCAAATCAGTTACTCAGATGCTCATTGACATGAGAATATTGTTCTATACAGCACTGAGGAACTCGAGAGCGAGCTCAGACTATGTCCCGACTTCAACAACCAGTATAGAGGAAGCAGAGTTCTGCCTGTTCCATCATTAGAAAAGCTGTTAACAAGCGCTCAATCCGCTCTCATTCCCTAACCGGTTAGCGTTGTGTGAACGTTTGCAGCACAAGAAACACTAACGTGCTGGAGGAACAGGGTCACCCTACGAGTTACTCGATACTTGATATTCATGTCAAGTCTGGTGTTCCTATTTTTTTGACCAGTGACAGATTAAACGTCAGAATCCTTTCAGGAACTGAGAGAAACTGTCTGCTTTCAGATCAATATTAGAACCGTCTCCCCAGTATTAATCTTGGTTCCATTTTCAAGGTCTGTCCGTCACCTTTGCCATCATCGAGGAGTCCTTGCTCTCAGGCCTCAGTTTGGCCTTTCCTCACAACAGGTCGTACATCAAAGGAAATGCACGACCTCTTGACCAGAGGGCTTTACCAGCATCGCCCCGATCAATGATCATTTCTCAAAGCTACAGTGTTCACGGATATTAACAGTGGGATGCAGCCCAACATCAATCTCTGCAGCCCCATCACCGTGCTGTGATATTTTCTTTCTTCCTCGAGGCATTCCTCAGATTGCTATTACTGTAGCCGGGACCAAGCGGCTGGGCTGTGAGTGGCATATTAATAGTATATTAAGGTCAGTGGTCAGGGAGCTCATTTTTCAACATGTCATATTAACCTTGTGGGTTTAACAGGACCTTGGAGGCCTTGTTTGAATGAACTGACGTTCAGCTCCCCACCGAAGCTGCAATTGATAAATCCAACATCAAGGTGCATTTTAATGCATTTTAGATTTCTCTAAGGGGACGTTTGATGAAAACTTTTGACTTATTGTAGTACCACCGAGGTCAACAAGGCTTCAAGTGGAGGGTGTACATAAAGCTAATACACTGCACGCAAGCATTTCTTCATGAAGACAATGGGATTCAGAGGAGACGTTAACGTGCACCAAAGGTCTCTGGCCAGTACAACTTATTTTAGATTAGGTTCTGTGGTCATTTTATGCCAATTTCCACCCAAGGTCCACTTATGAGCTCTTTTTCTGAGCTTTCAACAATAGTTCATGGTCTTCATCAGCACATAAAGGTCAAAGTGCAGTTAAACGTTCCTAACAAGCCAAGTAGAACTTGAGTTAGGATTGTTTTCTCAAAGAGCACAGGAGCTTTCACTGCACTGCACTGAGCAGGGCCCTGAGCTGTGGCTAAACGCTCTAAGAGTCTAGTAAATGAAACTTCTGATCCACGCTGGCAGCAGCGGTCCACTGCTGTTTGAACAAACTATCGACCGCAACCTTGAAGGAACCAGATGGAGAGGTCCGAAAAGACCAATAGCATGTTCTTACTAGTTCATCACAAGTGAGCGAACTCCATCTGTTGTAGAACAGAAAATTGTGTAAGTGGACCTTGAGTTGAGGTCGATTCGTCAGCTGCTGCTTCCTGACCCGTCAGGTTATAATACAACTCCTGACAGTTTTGTGAATCACAGAGCACTGGTTTCGAAAGACAACAGGACAGACAGGAGATTAGAATTCAGGCCAGCAACCTACTGATGAGTGGCCTGTTTTTGGTGTTAACATCTTGTTCTCACTATCTGCTCAGCTGTGAATATTTAAAGAGTCAGATTTCTCTTTTGCAGCCTTCTTGACAACTGGTGAGCTTGCCCCGGCCTGCAGCGCTGTATCAAAATCAGATATCAGTCTGGACCCGGAGGCAGAGCTATTAGATTAACTCTGCTAATAGGCTATAGCCCACGTTCAGAAGACAGGATATTCACTTAGGAATTTACTGCCCTGACTCCTCTCCTGCCTTTAAGCTCCGGCAGGGCTGAATCGTCCCTCATCAAGGCTGGCTGTCATGAACCATACAGGCCTACGGAGTGTCAGGTTTCAGAGCATGTGTTTGTCCCTGCTGGTCCACATCTGTCCATCCACCTCCAGGAAGACGTGCAGACAGCCAGACTGATGCGGCGCTCAGGGATGATATTTATTATAAATAGATTATGATTCAGCCACTGTCATCCACCTCTGATATGACGGATGTGGTTCACTTTGTTTCATCGTGTATTGATTGTACAGCTGACCTGTTAGCTCATTTTTCTATGGGAAAACCTGACTCAACTCCACACAGGGATTAAAAAACAATAACTTTGTCATTATTCTGCCTCTCGGTTGATCATTTTCACTAAACTTTGATGATCAAATGGTTGTTTTTACCTTGAAGAATTATCTTAGCACCACTTTGTTATTTTAACTGATTTTGTTTTGCTTCTTACTGTGTTTTAATGCATTTATTAAATTGTTTCATTTACCTCTCTTTGAAAGGTGCTATGCAAATAAACTTGACATTTTAAAATTTGGCGCAAAAACAAATTTAATCATTTTCTATAAGCATCAACTAAAACACCCAGTTTTAAAGACCAGTTATGACTGGGAAGAAAATGTGAACCTTCTAAATTGAACTGCAGAAAAATGATATAGTTCTGGCTTCCTCCTCTCGTGTTTAAGTTTGTCGGGTTTGCACAAATCTGGATTTGAGTTGGAACCTTACTGGATGTTTTTAAGGCTGGGATTGTCTTTTTTTTTTTTTTACACTGAAGAATTTTCTTCTTGTCAGAATCTGGAGCATCATAGCACAATTAAATTGTTCACTGAACTAAAACTGGGGAACTGATGAAACAGCCCACAACACTACTGTTCAACTTATTACTCAACTGACAACTGAGCACTAAATGAATGAACAGAATATAGACATAGATGTTATTTGGATGCTTTACAGATTATCAGTAACCACATACGACTCAGTGAAGCTGCATCAGCTGCCAAAAGCAAAAGACCTGCTCTCAGCGCAACTCACTTTAAAGTCGGGACACTTACAGAGCAGCAACTTGTCCACATGTAAACTTGTATTTATTCTCATCATTTTAATCTTTCTTGAGTTCCAACAGTGTGGCCTGGACGTTGACCTCTGACCCTGGACCTCCTAACTATGCATCAGTGCCCCACTCAGGATCTTGATGTACAGAGTTTTCCTCAGTCTTCCTTTTGCTGTTAAACTATTAGAAGACGAGGTAAATATGTGCAGAACAACAGCGGCGAGGCCTGCGCCCCTTGATACATTGCAAATAGTTTACAATTGACCAAAAAGCAGATAAACAGGAACTAATTCCTAAAAAAAAGTCGAGAATTGTTGTAAAATAATGATAAAAAAGCTCATCCTAAAGCAAACAACCATTTGAATTGATAGTTGTCGAACAAAATCTCCAAAATCTAAAAATATCCAAGTACCCATCAGCAGATTTTCATAAGGAAGCAGATAATGTCATTAAAATGTTTGAAACAATTGACTAAGGTTTTTCAGCTAGCTGTATTTAATATCTATGTAAAGAAGTGCATAAATCAAGAAAACCTCTGCATTCTAAACTCAAGTCTGACCACACAACTGTGGAAACAGTTTAATGCTGTTGTGCCTGTTGTTGTCCACTGTCACAGGCTACTCTGTATTGTGCAACTCAGTTGGTAACAATCAGATATTCCTCATGATGCTGAGGGTCCCTTAAGGACCCCTCAAGGTTTTGCTGAGCTCACTTATAGAACCGCTGACGTTGCTGCAGCAGGTAAAGGTGCTGCTGAATCAACTTGATTTCTGTACCATCCCGGGTGTTTTTACTGTCATGTTAAAATTTCTGTAGTAATTATTGCACGTCTTTACATTTCCTTTGATACTGAATCTGACTGGCTCTCTTTTAATAATAATCATCGAAGTCCATCCAATCAGTAACGTTGCAAAAGCCTAGATTCAGCAGGTTCACCTCATCTTAATTAGACGGGGTGCTGCCATAAGCCAGTCGGGGTCCAGCGCTTTAAGGACCGGACCCCGCACCTTCATTCAGTTTAACACATTCAAAAAATCGGGAGTCTGATAACGCCCTGGTGTCAGACCTGTTAACGGTTTCATCTACAAGTAGTTGCACATTTACCTGCTCTGCGCCTTGGAAGCAGATCCGGCAGCTGGGAGTGGGGATGCAGGTCTCGCTGCTGCAGTTTGAATGCATCGCCTGGGTCTTGCACGATGTGCCCCCGACCGCCCCATCCTCACCGGAGAAATTCCCCCCGTTGTTGTCCTGGTCCTCTGCGCTCCCCCCACATGTGTCCCTGCAGCCTCGGCCCGCCTGGCATCCATCTCCTTCCTCGTCCTCCTCTCCCTGCTCCGTCTCGTCCTCATCGTCGGGGTGCGGACGTCCTTGGGATTCGTGCGGTTCGCCTTCCTCCCAGGTGTGGTGGAGGGTGATGGTAGTGCCTCCCCTGGCTTCTCCACAAGCTGGCCCTGCCTCTCCCTCCTCTGTGCTCATAATAAAATGAAAAGTCGAAATACAATTGCATAGATGCCACCCGTCAAGCGTACACGGTATCCGCTACCACTGCGACGCAGGGATGTGATGCTGCCTTTAAGCTCCCAGATCACGGTGCTCTCAGCGATTATGCCTCCGCTCCGTGGATACCGAACCGAGCCGTGCTCCTGTAGGCGGACCTACGGTGTGGCAGC